GTAGTGATAAAAAAAAAAAGAGATGATGCAGAACATATTATTGTTGTGAAAAATCGTAACGCAAGTATACGTTATCGCAATCAAGTAATATAATAGTGAATAAGATTATCGTCCCATGAGGATTTAGGTGAAATAATGAGTTATTGATTATGTTTGCGGAAAAAATATATATACATTGGATGATGAACCACAAATGGGCCTTAAAAAAGTGAGAGAAGAAAATAAAACTTTGTGCATACTCAATTTTGTGCTGGCCAAAAAAATAATAATAATAAAAGAAAGAAGGGGAATTAAAAAAATGTACGTTTTAAAACGTGGAGTAGTGATAAGAAAAGAGAAAGTGCAGAATGTGTTGTGTGCAAAACGTGAAGTAGTGATAAAAAAAAAAAGAGATGATGCAGAACATATTATTGTTGTGAAAAATCGTAACGCAAGTATACGTTATCGCAATCAAGTAATATAATAGTGAATAAGATTATCGTCCCATGAGGATTGTTGTTTACTAATTACCGAAATTGTATTAACCCCAATTTTATTTGAATACTTGAAAAGAGAGTTTATAAAATTAAGTAAAGTAAAACTAAAACAATTAAATAAATTAAACAGTGCTAAACAATGGATGAAAATTCAATAGATTAAGATTCTAGGGTTTCCGATTTCACCAAATTAATCATGTTCAAATTCCCATAATTCAAGAAAATTAACATTCAATCCTATACTGACAGCAATTTCTCTAAAGCAATTATTATTCTTTCTCAAGCAATAATAATATTAATCCAACAAGCAAAATCTACATCTCTGTCAGACTTCTAAACCTGTTGAAAATCATTAAGTGCAAGAAATTCAAAAGAACTGCACAAGCATCATAGATATCTCATCCTATGAACAACTCATGGTATTTCAATTAAGAGCTTAATTAATTATCACCTCTCGGTCTCAAATTAAATACAAAATCATGTAATAGTTGGCCAAACAATCACACGCATTAAGAATAAATTGAAATACTCAACATATATGGATTAAACATCAATTACTTAAAAAGAAGATTGAGAATTCGAACATTCATAATCCGGCTACATCGTAGCCCTAAAAAAAGGAATTAGTTCATCTCTAAACAAAATAAATTCCTAAACAAAGTCTTAATCATTGGAAAGGAAAGAAAAGAACTAGTTTGGAGTTGAATTGAAGCGTCTCCGTCTCCGGATTTGAGCCGTTCTTCTTCTCCGTCCCAATTCTCCTTTTCTTCTCTTGAATACTCTCTCAAAAGCCAGCCGTCATTCCACAGTCTAAAGTTCCACTCTAATTGCCCTAGAATCATCTATTTATATGTTTCGGAGCATTAGGGTCAAAATGGGTAAGTTTTCTCGCGATTGGCCTTCAAAACGAGTAATTTCTCGCGTCGTAGCGCCGCGGCGCTGAGTTTCTGGCGCTGCGGCACTGTTATGTAAAATCCCTGGGCACTGCGGCGCTGTAATGGGCGCCTAAGCGCTGCCCATTCTGCCCCAATGCACTAATTTCGTCAGATTTCAGCGAAATTTGTCCAAAACCTTTCAAATCATAGACTTTCACCTGACCTTCAAACAAAGAACAAAAACACACATAAAAACTAACAAAAACCTCAAAAACTAACTAGATATTAAGTGTAAAACGATACTAAATGAGCGAGTAAAACTCACTCATCAATTCTATACAGAACGTGGAATAATAATTAAAACTGTTACGGAATTTTTTTTTTATACAGAGGAAGAAACGAGAGGGGGGAGTTTTTCATCAAAAAAACTGTGCAGTGTGTGCAGAAAAGTGAGAGAAAACAAAAGAAGGCAAAAAAGCGTGTGTGGAGAAACGTGAGAAGAAAGAAGGAAAAGAAAAAAAAATGTTAGAGCCCGTGCAGGTGTGTGGGGAAACGTGAGAAAAAAATAAAATAAAAAATAAAAAAAAAACTTTGTGCAGGTGAGAGAAGAAAAAAAAAATATATATATATATATAAAGGTGCAGGTGTGTGGGAAAACGTGAGAAGAAAGAAAGAAAAAAAGGTGCACAGGTATGTGTGCAAAGAAGTGAGAGAAAGAAAAATATACATCCTCAAAAAAATGATATTTCAAAATAATAAAGTAAATACATTTTTTGATTTTTTGATTTTTTTTGTACTAACAGTTTAGTTTTTGGTGTTATTAAACAGATGCAATACATTTAAATTAAGTTTTATATACATTTTAAAGTGTGAGATTGTGATTTACTCCTTGACACTCTCTACGCAGGTAAATCTTATATACACCTTATGGTGTGAGATTTCTTATTTGTAACACTCTTAATAAATTCCTAATGCACTCATGGTGTGTGGTTTCTCGTTCTTATCACGATCCTATGATTATCACTAAGACTTTGATTTCTTTTTAGAGATCAATATAAGTTAAATGTGATTTCAAAAAAATCAAGGATTAAAAGTTTCTCAAATTATTTGTTACAATTGTTTTGAGTGTAATTCGAGTGAAAAACTCATACGAATTACACTTTAAAAATCAGCATATGAAAAATTATGTGCATAAGCAACCGTCACTTGCATCTCTTTCCCAATATCTTCACAAATATATATATATATATATATATATATATATGTTAAAAAAAAAGGAAAACGTGTAGAAAGGATGAGGATGAGGAAAATCTAAGTTCCTTTTGAAATCAAATTGTTAGCAAAAAAAAAGATATATATCATACAATCAAATCAATCGGTTTGGATATGATGAAATTCAAAATTAAAAAGGGGATAAGGGATAAAGGATAAATTTTAAAAGAAATTCGGAATATTATATATCTACACATTTAAAGTGCACAAATTGAGCTCTTTTATGGTCCCTTAGTTAAAAAAGATAAACCCATTATCTCATAAAACTATATGGTGATTAAATATATTTTTTTAAAATCTCAAATTCAAATAAAAAAAATCATGAGATCGCAAGTTCATCGAATCTCACAAAATGGGTTGCAATGTCATAGAACCCTAATATCAAATGAAAAATAATGCCTACTACAAACGTGGCATGAAAGTAGAATAAAAGAAAGCATATTTCTTTTATCTGCACAATCGGCCATGCATGCAATTTTAACTACTTTCAGTTCGTAATCAATGAAGGCCTCCTAAATCCTAAAGAAAGAAATAGTCACTCATTTGCGTACTCTCGTGCTCGTTCATAAAACAGTAATGGATTTCAACTTCCGAAGAGTGTAACGTGGAACTTGATTTTCCTAAGGCTATATCTAAATGGGCCTCTGACATTGATTACAAGCCCAACAAAAGAAGTAGAGGCTTCGGCCTTCTTTACCAATGACGTAAGCCCAAATAAAGGGGAAGACTTCATTGTTGTTTGTTTAACAACGTATGGTATAACTGAAGGCCATCAATTATCACAGAAGGTATGAAGCCTCGTCCCAAAGCATGCATAGAAGCCAAGATGGTTAATTAATTAAAGTCCCGTTCACTTTGCTGATTCGAGTTTAGAATTCGAGTTGAGATGTGATTTTATATGAGAGCTTTTTACTTTGTTTGTGAGAGCTTTTTACTATACAAAAACTCAAATTCTAAACTCGAATCAGCGAAATGAACAGGGCTTAAGTTGCTCAAATTAAAGAAGAGGACAGTTCATCTATCATAATGGAACGTTGATAATTCAACAGATGCAATACAAAATGTTATCAACATACTCTAAATCCCAATTCACAAATATATATATATATATATATATATATGTATGTATATATAGAATCAAATTATCTCCAAAATCATTCAAAGAGAGATATAAGAGTTTCAATTGAAAATAAACTTTAAAATCACTAAGAATGGATTACGTTGACCTGATTCCGCAAAGGATACGTAGACAACCTATCAAATTAGGTGCGGTTCAATGTTCAAAAAAATAAAATGAGAAGCAAATTCTCAAAAGTCCACAACCACTTGATAAGTTGTTTTTCTTTTACTTGATAAAAGCAAAACAAAAGAAGAAAATCAAACAAATAGAATCAATTTACACAATCGTTTCCCTTGAATTTGACTTATTTTCTCTCCTACACGCTCTGATATCTTTTCTTTCTGATTCATCCACAACCACTTTGAGACGAACCAATCTAGCTAGAATTTAAGAAAGAAAGTATTGAATGCGGTTGCGGTGAACCTTGAGCAAGGTTTCGGCGCCTTTGTGGCGAACCCAGCACTAGCTTTGTTATGAGGAGGAGCTCTTTGCAGGACTAAGGTTTGGTCCTGCCAAATATGACAAAATATTGCAGGATCTGGTCTCTCCTTTAACAGATTTAGCGATATCCAGGAGTGTCTGCCAGATTGTTCATCTCTCAAGCACTCTACAGTTGGCCGAATCTCGACTCCCTAATCGGGGAACATCTAGTATGTCTTTCGTCTTGTTTTTTTGGAGGACGGCGAGAGTATTTTTATACTGTTCAAAAATCTAACAACTGAAAAGTTAGTTTACAAAAAATTATAAGAGTTTGGCTGTTGGAATGTGCAATTTAGCAAAGCATCTCTAATTTTCTTTCATTTAAATTGATCGGATAATGATGATTGATCCAGCAAATTTAATACTTTTCTATTCTCTAAAAAACTGTATTCTTTTATGAAATCATAGGATGATGTGGCCAGCACTCCAAACAAGTAATGTCACACAAAACATGTTAGAAATCTCCCGATAGACACATTACAAAGAGGTTTAGACGACCATTAAGTCCCAAATACAATCATTAAGCTCCTTTTACCGGAAATAGACGGCAAAGTCTAGGACCTGGTCAATCACCAATTCTTTTCTGGATTATAAAATGATATTTAAAAAAAAAAAAAAAACTTTTTATTTATTTGAACGAGATTTTTTTTCGAATATACGAAGGGGGGGAAAAAAAGAAAATAAACGATTTCCCATGTTGTTGCTATTTTATGCAAATTGCATTCTCTATTTGGCCGTTTCCCGTGTCGTTGTTGCTGTACTTTTATTACCCAGTAACTAGTTTTTATACTCAAACTATGTCCTACATAAAGAGGACAAATTTCCATATTTAAAATGTAACAAAAGTACTTGAATAAGGCCACGAAAAGGCCAGCAGGTTTGGCTTATAAAATTGTTGCTTGCCGCGAATATTGTAAACTTAAGAGTATCATTCAACGAGACAACTAATTACTTTCTAACTTCCATGGCCACTACTAAGTTTCTTTTACACTTTCCTACGTTCACATCGTTGTTTCTAATTCTTCTCTCCTTGTCTGAGTCAGCGAATGGCCTCTCAATCAGAGAAGCCAGAATCCATGATCTTCAATTAGCCTTTAAGCACAACAAACTCACTTCAAGACAACTTGTTAAGTTCTACCTCGATGAAATCAGCAGGCTCAACCCGGTCCTCAATGCCGTTATAGAGCTCAACCCCGATGCGCTTTACCAGGCAGATAAGGCTGATTATGAGCGCAAAACCAATGATTATAGATCCTACTCTGGCTTGCACGGGATTCCGGTTCTTCTTAAGGACAATATTGGAACCAAGGATGCGCTCAACACGACCGCTGGCTCCTTCGCATTGCTTGGCTCTGTTGTGCCTCGTGATGCCGGTGTTGTGACAAAGCTGAGGAAAGCTGGGGCTATCATATTGGGAAAGGCCAGTTTGAGCGAGTGGGCTCATTTTCGGTCGCTCAATGCGCCTAATGGCTGGAGTGCCAGAGGTGGCCAAGGAAAGGTTAGTCATTTTGGTGTCTTTATATATATAAGACAACTCATGACTTGTAATATTGGAATCTATATATGTGATGTTGTGCGCAGAATCCTTATGTTCTGTCAGCGGATCCTTGTGGTTCAAGTAGCGGACCAGCAATATCGGTCACGGCAAATCTTGTGGCGGTGTCGCTGGGGACTGAGACTGACGGTTCCATTCTGTGTCCTGCAAGTTTTAACTCGGTTGTGGGCATCAAACCAACTGTCGGACTAACTAGTAGAGCAGGGGTTATTCCAGTCACCCCTAGACAGGACACTGTTGGGTAGGTTCTGTTACACTATGTCAATTACTAAAATCTATGTTTCACATTTTTCTTACTGCTTAGTTTTCTCATATTATTGATTTTAATTTTCATGATTACAATTGCTTTGATGGTTGTTAAACAGGCCTATTGGGAGGTCTGTGTCCGATGCTGTTTACGTCCTTGATGCCATTGCTGGTATTGATTACAAAGACCAAGCAACCAAAAAGGCATCGAAATTCATTCCGCCCGGTGGTTACAAACAATTTCTTAATGCTTATGGTCTTAAAGGGAAGAGGTTGGGGATAGTGAGGAATCCATTTTTCGCTCCTGGAAGCGGATTTGATCTTCAAGCATTTGAATATCATTTCCAAACATTAAGGTGAAAAACGACATCCTAGCTAGTTTTCAAACTCTAGTGATCATACATATTGAGATTAATAATCTATAGAGATCGGAAATGAAAATAAAAAACTAACAAAGTTATTAATAATTCTTGAATTAAAGGCAAAGAGGTGCAGTCTTGATCGACAACCTGGAAATAGCAAACATTGATGTTATCTTGAACTTCACATTGAGCGGGGAAGCAGTAGCCTCATTGGCCGAGTTCAAATTGGCATTGAATGATTATCTTAAAGACCTGAAAGTCTCCCCAGTGAGATCCTTAGCAGACATTATAGCCTTCAATGAAAAGTTTTCAGATTTGGTAAGGAAACAATAACTACTTTTTTTCCCCACTAAACAATTATTAGTCCATTTTTAACCGCAGGCGACATGACAGGAAATGATCAAGGAATTCGGGCAGGACATATTTCTTGCGGCCGAAGCTACGAATGGAATCGGCAAAACAGAGAAAGCGGCAGTCTATAATTTGGCTAGGCTGTCTGGAGAAGGATTTGAGAAGTTGGTGTGGGACAATAAGCTAGATGCATTGGTGACTCCTGGATCTATTGTTTCTCCTGTGCTTGCCATCGGAGGATTTCCGGGAATAAGTGTCCCTGCTGGATATGACAAGAATGGAGTGCCTTTTGGCATTACTTTTGGGGGACTCAAGGGATCTGAGCCAAAGCTTATTGAGATTGCGTATGACTTTGAGCAAGCAACTCAAGTTAGGAAGCCTCCTACTTTTCTACCTTGAAATTTTAGCATATTATATATATCCCCCCCCAACTAGGATTTTAGTAACTAGTGAGAAAATCGTCTATCAAATATCGTAGCAAAAAGGGGGGAAAAAAAAGATCATATCTTGAATAATGTTTTTCTTATAATTTGGAGAAAATGATATGCATTAGACTGCTGACGAGGACATGATGATCAATCTCTTTCAAATTATATTTATCATTTCTCTTGCTTTTTATAGATCACATTCATGTCGTCACTATATTAGAGTATAAAAAGCGACATATGAAATGTCGTTTTGTTTACTTTAGGAAGGACATGTCGTTTTGCTTCTTAATACTTGAACCTCCGAATTTGCTGTCTACCTTGTGAACGATGCGTAGTTAACAATGCGTTCCTTGTTGCACATCTCAAAATTGAAACGACAGTTCACTTTTTGTTTAGAATATGATCTGATATCGGTAAAGCGATCCGGACAAAATCTCGTTGGCCATGAAATTCTTGTCTAAGATAAAAAATAAACGTATTTTCTTGTACAAACTTTGAAGATGTTAAAGTATATTACGATATCTAGTTTAGTGTAAATCTAGTGTCGTTTAAGCTGTAGACTACATGTCATCCTAGTCTTAACTTTGTTGTTAAAAGTAGAGAAAATTCTAAATTACATCTCGTTTGTAAACTAAAATTTTATTGTCGTTCAGAATACGAAACGAATGTCATTTAACTTCTCAGGGTTCCGTCAATTGCAAGTTTGTTGAAAATTTATTTTCTTTTCCATTTCTGCCAACTATTTTACAAGTTAACGACATTGAAAAATTAGGTGAATTTGTGTTGTATATACATACTCATGTGACGCGAAATGAAATTGCTCAAGAATTGGTTAGTGTCAACCACTTCAGAATTTAACTTCTTGCTTTTATCTGGCCAAAGATATTAAAGCTATCAAGATTTTCATGCAAATATTGGTATGACTTCATATAAAAGAATACAACAATAAAGACATATTTTTGTATCTTTTTTAGAGACAAAGACATAGTAGTTAGTTGGGCTACGTGAGATGATTTAAGCAAACCTGCCCCATATTTGCTTTGACATTGAGAATCTTTGCTAGAAATCTTTGCTAGAATGCAACAAATATTGTTATTTTTGTAAATTCCAATATTGGTATGACTTCATGTAAGAGAATACAACAATAAAGACATTTTTGTTTTTTTGATTTTTTTTAGACGCAAAGACATAGTAGTTAGTTGGGCTACATGATATGATTTAAGCAAACCTACCCCATATTTGCTTTGACATTGAGAATCTTTGCTAGAAACTGCAAACTTTGAACTAATTTTATGCATTTGTGTTCAATCAAAAGCACCCAAAAATCCAATTGAAGCCATGTACGATCACTTGAAAAAACATAGACATTATTTGCCAGCTGTCACCAAAAGAATACTCAAGAGCCTTCCTCTTTGGCAAAGGGAGTTGACCCACCCACAACTATTTAGTGGACCCCACTAGGACCTCTCCAAAATGGAAAAATTTTTCTTATTCATTTTGTTGCAGTTCAACTGCAGTTCAACTGCTTTGAATCTCTACAAGACCATCTTCAATATAATTCCCTCCTTAATTCTCTCTTTTTCTTTAGAGAAAGTAAGAGAGAGAAATGGCAAAACTAAGAGAGAGAGAAATGGCAAAACTAAGTGTTCTGATCATGGTCGTAGTGGAATTTACAATATGGTTTCAAAGCTGTAGAGCAGAGGACACAAAAGAGAAAATAGCAAACCTCCAATTCTACTTCCACGACACACTCAGTGGCAAGACCCCAAGTGCCGTGAAAGTTGCTCAAGCACCTGAAACTGACAAGTCCCCCACACTCTTCGGAGCGTTGCTTATGGCCGATGACCCACTGACCGAGACGTCCGACCCGAATTCTAAGCTTGTGGGCCGGGCACAAGGACTGTATGGATCAGCTGGGCAACATGAACTTGCATTAATAATGGCAATGAGCTTTGAATTCATAGAGGGTGAATACAGTGGGAGCTCAATCAGCATTTTTGGTAGAAACCCGGCGCTTAATCCAGTCCGCGAGATGCCGGTCGTCGGGGGTACTGGGGTTTTCCGGTTGGCGCGTGGATATGCAATCGCTAAGACTCATTGGTATGATCCTCTCACGGGTGATGCTATAGTAGGATATAATGTCACTGTGCTTCACTACTAGAATGTCCTCCTTTCTATGTTTTTTTTTTCTTTTTCTTTTTTTTTTGCACGTATTTCTTTTCTTGTTGGCGTAGTTTATTTTGCTTTTGACGGTTATATAGAATTGGATTTTTAAGAACTTTTGTATGGTTAATAATTAATATATGTTTTTAGTTCGTACGTGTTTGGTACTATAGGTCATGTTTGGAGTTGGTTTTGTTTTTATGTTTCACATTTTTTGAGAAAAAAAATAAAAACGGAAGAGAAACGGCGTTTAACACAATTAAAGATAAAAAATAGAAATGAAAATGATTTTTTGGTTTAGTATAAAATGAGAGAGAAATGAAAATTGACTTTTAGTCATTTTTCATTTTTTATTTCCATTTTCTCCTCTATCAAGCACAGAGAGAAACATTAATGGATTTTTTTATACTGAAAACAATCTCTTGATAAAGCTACCAAACGCATTTTCAAAAATGATTTCTGTCTGAGATTAAAAATATGTTCATTTTCATTTTCATACAAAAAATAAAATCATTTTAGAACGAGTTACAAACGCACTCATAATCTCTAGCACCTGATCATAAGTAGTATCCATTTATTTTTTTTTTATTTTTGGATTAATTTATAATTGTTCATTTATTTTATTTTTTTCCCCAAATTTTAAAATGTGTCATTCATTACTCTCATTCTTGATACGGCTGCAAAATGAAAAGTACCCCTGTTGCATTCTGTCTATTTACCAGACGGAGATCTATACTTTGGCCGTAATATTCTCATAAGGGAGGGCATATTAGTCCATTCGGGAAGGGTAAGTAAATAAATGGGCAGTATTTGCATCACAATTGCTTTTTGTACTACTATTTTACGCCTTTACAGTTATCCATGGCAAGTATAGTTCAATATATACGTGCGTATATATAAAGAGTGTTCATATCCAATGGGTACTAAGAAGCTACCTAATTCATTGAACCTCGTTTTATTGTTAAGAATTTCCAGGGATAAATTCAAAATCTTGCTTTTCTTCTGCCAATATTTAAACAAGAAAAATGGTGAACCGTGATGAGAAAATGTGCTATTTATTAACTAGACTACCGTCATGAGATGTATATTATTGCTCATCTGATTTATTTTTTTTTTCAAATGTACGTGGTTATAACTAATTTGTGTTATTATTGAGATTTTCAGGAAAAAAAAAAAGGTTTTATAATTTAGCAACTGTATGTATATATGTATCGTATACACATTTCTATATATTAAAAAAAACTATTGTACGGAATGTTTTTATCCAGCCGATATAGAGCACCCTACGGTGGAATAAGTCTTTTTAAACCATTTAAATAAGCATTAACAATCCTTTTTTTTTTAAGGATAAACGTTAACAGTCTGATTTATGAATATGAGTATTCTCACTCACTCACTCTTTCTCTCTCTATAATTAGATGCTCAAAAATTAGGGTAGTCTTTAAAAAATAAATAAATGGTTAAAAAATTTTCTTTAACGATAAGGCAAAACAACGTCTACATACGATTTTATTTTATGCATATCACATATTATTTAGGACTCTTCTTTGCAAAAAAAAAAAAAAAAAAGACTTAAAAAATGAGTAATTAACCCTATTATTGATAATGGTTTAGCTACCATCAGGCCGCTTTGATGGGATATATTTGTATGTCATCATGGATATATTTATAATCACGTAAACTTTTTTTCTCAAGAAGATAATACTACTAATTTACACATTTTCAGAAAAAGAAAAATCACATTAGCAATATATTATCATGATATGTCCCACCGAAAACTTAATGTACGTACCGCCACATGCTTTACTTTATTAATTTTAAAAAATAAATAGTATATATACGGCGAGGAAATTACATATACATATATATATATATATACATGTATAGGATGCTGAAACAAAATAGGATTTGAAAACGAGTAGTTAACTCCGTTTACAAGAGCCGCTAGGTACAGCAGTATCTGATTTTTTTGGGCTTAATATATATAGATGCAATTAATACGTAAAACGTTATCCTTCTTTTTCTAGTGGATTAATCTCTCTCTGTCACACACCCACATCAAAGTCCTAAAAGGATTTGTACAATACGGCATGGAAACATATATATGTACATATATATATATATAGATATAGGATCGACGGTGAAACAGAACAGGATTTGAAAAGTGTTTTTACATACGTGTATACATATATGGCGCCTAAAGAAAAAGTCGAGTAGGATTATAAAACCTTATTTTATAAATAGTCAAATTGAAAGAACTTTTTTCTTTTATAGTAAATACTGTTCGTTCTTTCCTTTTAAATTTATTCTGCTTCTAGAATGTTTACAGACGACGTACTTTGTTGTCCTTGGTCTCGGCGTTTAACATGGCATCGAGTGAAAATACTAGGCCATGGTTGCTATGCTAAAGTTTATTTAGCTCTTTACACAGATCATGACGAGTTTTACGAAGAAATTGCAGTGAAAACAGCAAAACTAGAATGCGCATTTACTCTCCAGAAAGAGACCAGAATCCTTGAAGATTTCTACAACTGCCCAGAAATTGTTCGCTGCTTGGGTCACGAGGTAACAGTCGAAGGCGGTGTCCAATTCCACAATCTGCTTCTAGAATATGCGCCTTTGGGCACGCTATTCGACTTGATTCAAAGATCCGGCGATTTTATATTACCGCGAGATATTCGAATATACACGTGGGTGATATTGAAAGGTCTTTGTTGCATGCATGCAAAAGGCTACGTCCATTGTGACCTAAAGCCCGAAAACATTCTTGTCTTTCGTTCTCAAGATCATGGTTATCAACTTAAGATCGCGGATTTTGGATTGTCCAAAGAGCCTAGGGATACACTTTCGAAAAGGCTGCTCAAGTACAGATTCCGAGGAACTCCACTTTACATGTCGCCGGAATCTGTGGCGCTTGGTGAAATCAAGCCTGCATTGGACATATGGTCTCTTGGTTGCGTTGTGTTGCAAATGATAACAGGGAAACCGGCATGGCAATATGGCGCGGAGTATTCAAACCCTAAGGACATTGTTTATCTCCTGGCTTTTACGAAGAAGACCCCTCGGATCCCGGATTACCTGGCAGAAATCGGGAAAGATTTCTTGCGGAAGTGTTTCGAGAGAGACCATCACAAACGGTGGTCGGCTCAGATGCTTTTGGATCACCCCTATGTCAGTGAAGCATCAGGGCTGCCTGTAACTCAGCCAGTACGGCCTATGCAATTTAGTGAGGATCAGGATGGAAGTGTGGGACGCAATTTGAGAAAAGATGTCTCACAACCACCAACTTCGCGCAACCTTTCAAACGGATAATGAGCATGTTCCTAAGAGTTTGAGTCAAAAGACATCTCATGACCAACAAGAACTTTGATTAGCCTTATAGCGAAATACTTTTAAAAGATTGTGAAACCAATTAGTTTTCCTAATGTTCAACCTTTTTTGTTTTATTTTCTTAATTTCTTTTGTTATATAGGTCGAGGAAGATTCTTTTGTTTATATGTATAACACAAATTAATATAAATATTTTTGCGCACGTGGTGTCTGCAGGCAAGTATTAAAGAGAGAGCCGGAGGGGGGGAAGAAGGGTTGAAGGGGAACAAAAAAAAAATTCCATGACATAATACTAACGAATCATCATGAATGACTGATGAAGAACACGTACGAAGCCTTAACTAAAAATTAATTTTACTAGACTTTGAATACGAACGAAAAGGAGGCTAATCTTCTTTTAGAATTTAGAAAGATGAATTAAAGATGGGAAAAGGACGACTCAAGAGGAAGGCCGCATTAAAACATCTGAAAAACAGAGAATTAAAAAAAATTAATTAATTAATCACAAAAGTCTCCTTTCTTTTTGGCTGAAGTTTTTGTTTCTCTATATCAACCATACGATTTTCTTTTAACTGAAATATATATTTCGCTGTAAAAAAACAAAAAAACAAAAACAAAAACAAAAAGTAGCTCTCTTTTGTTGTCACTTGCTTCTTTGGTTGTTTTTTTATCGTATTCCCCAATGCTGTCGCTCTAATTTTTTAATTGTCGCTTGCAAAGTTCAGGCTTTCTTTTGATGTCGTTTTAATGTTTTCTTGTAATTTTTCTCCTTTTTTTGTCTCCACTTCTATTGTCACTTTTCGGCTGTGTTATTTCTTATTAGTTGCGTACTGTACTATGTCGTATTTTAGCACTGATACTGTTGATTTCAAAGTTTCTTGTAACTTTCAAATTTTTTCGTCGTTTGAACATTTTCTGCCAACAGGTCACAGACTCACAGAAGAGGAAATGCCTAAATTGTGACTCTATTTTATTTAGGTCTTATTATTATTATTATTATTATTATTATTATTATTATTTTGAAAGATCTATTGGATGCTGTAGTTATATTGAAATTAGAACTTAGAACTTGTAGTCAAACTAGGATTTCTACTTGGTTTAGGATTTAGTTAGCCTATAAATAAAGCAATATTGCGCATCTGCTAAACAATAAAGCATGAAGTTGGTACCTGCAGATACGTTTTTTTCTCGTAAAACTTTCATTTGTAAGTCTTCTATATGAGTTTGTGCACCATATTTACTAAATTCTTTATATCTCTATTAGAGATTCTCTAATTTCAAGATTTGTAACTTGTTTATAATGTCATGCATGAGTATTCTATTAATTTTTCTTTCTTCTATCGTCTGCCGTTTATTGGATTTGACTTTTTAGTATTTTCGTTCCTGTTCTTTACTTTCTCATCTTTTCATTGTTGCTATTCTTTTGGTATTTTCAGATCGAGTTATTGTTGTTTCAAATATTTATAGTTATATTGTTGTTCTTCTAAGGCTTAGTATTTTTGTATCACGCATGCATTATTTGTTCCTTCTTCGTTTGTTTGATTGGTCACTTCTTGATTGGAATTGATCGCTTGCATACACCAGGTTGCTTAAACGATACATGGCATGACTACTATGACGGCAAGCTGCGTCCGTACATCATCTTTCGGTATGGTAAGAAGAAGATTAACTAAGTAATTAATTTAAGCGCCTTAATTCTCCACGGACTTTTAATATGTGTTTACTTTTACTTATGCAAGATAACGAGTGGAAACGTTTCGTTGAATAAGTAGCGCGCCAGACACGTTCATTCCTCAAGCTTTCGTTTGTGAAGTCACTTCTCATCTGAATACTTAAGGAGTGGAGGTGTTTCGGTAGTTCAACGAAATCCCTCCGCGCCTTATCATGATTAAGTAAAAGTAAAGCACATCTTAAAGCCATAAATCAAAGAAAAAGTGCTTGAACTTAAGTAAGATACTCAAAAACACCCTGAAAACATGTATATAACCAAATGGAAGTCTCACATATGTTGGAACTATACATGTTATGCTCCGTATTAAATTGATTTCTTGGTGATACTAGCTAGACTGATAAACAATGAGGAGAAATGCTTGTTTTGTTATAAGTAGGCTTGCTATTTCATCCAAAGAATCATGCAAAAGAGTTCTCATACATCTGCGTGTCACTTAACATGACTGTTAATCTTTTAGTGGACGTTTGGTTCATGAATTTAGAATCGTAATTTAAAATTATTCTCGATTTACGTGTGTTTTTTGTGAGAGAAAACACAATAGCAAACCACGACTATAATTCAAATCATGGCACGAATACACTAACTAAACGCACACTTACTGTTTCCGTTTGTCTTTAAGACTGGATTTTGCCATTAGGCGATTTGATTCGATTTAATGAGGAGATGCGTAGCTGGTAAACTTGGGGATAGTAGTTTTTTCTGCTTATTATGCAAAGCTTGTAATTTAATTTGTGTATAGGGTAAATAGTGGAAAGGGAATGGACAATGGATGCCAGTGGAAATATATTAAGGGTCGTGGCTTGGAGAAATAGGACAATATTATACAAGGGAAATGGACCAGAATCAATTTTATTTGGACGAAACTACCCTTTTGAAGTAAACTTGCGGACTACAGTTCAGCAGTTTCCAAAAGGTTCAGATGCATTTATTATCATATATACTCGTATTATCATGCCAAATTGCAGTGAAAAGGCCTTTTCCGCGAAGATAAGTCTCCAAAATCAAAGTTGGATTGGAGGATCTACTGCAATATGCTTCATAATACCCAAACAATGCATGATTCTATGAATAACAGATACAGCCCATACAACAATCTATGAGTGATTTGTACAGAACAAAAATTAACCCAAAATTGTGAATTAACAAATCAAACTGATCAGGCCGGCGCAAGAACAGCGACGACGAGAGTTAATTCGCCGAGGTGGCGATGCTTGGGTGCGGAGTTAAGGATTTGGGCAGCACAGATGAGCGTTGACGTACCCGTACCCTAATTGCATGATGAGATTATACTATTAGAGGCAATGGTAATTCTTATAATGCAACTCCAAGACCCAGTTGGTGCATCCGCTCTAGAAAGCTCCACAGCTTAATTCAGTAATAGACATTTTTTTTTCCTTCAAAAACAAAAGACCGCAGAAACCATTTTTTACAAAAGTTGAACGAATGCACATAGGTTCCTACTTCCCAAAACAGAAAAACAAATTAGTACCCAAAATAAAAGACCTTAACAGCATCATACTTCATACACTAGTAAAAAAAAAAAAAAAAAGCATAATGGGAAGACTTCACAAAGAAATAACCTTACAAATACCTGAAATGGAGATAAAAAAAAAGGTTCCATCATCGATTCCCTAAATTTAGAGCCACTCTTTCTCAAAGTGCATCTTTTCCCAGAGTGACATGGCATTTAACCTTTTATTACTTTCAAAAAAAGCCATTCCACGTTCCTCACTGCCTGTCAAGTCAATACAACTCGCCAGATCATAATCACTGCCGGTCAGAATTTAAGTCTCATTCAATTCGTTAATTTGAGTTTTTAATTTAAACTGAGATGTGATTTTATGTTAGAGTTTTTTACTGTAGCAGAAAAAATTAGATGTAACTTTTAATGAAAACATTTACTATTGAAACATCATTCAAACACAGTGAAAAAGTATCTTACTATTCTTCAAGTGCAGTCGCTTGCACAACCCGATAAATCTGCATGCAGTACACGTAAGAAAGGGCAATAAGAAAAACCGCATCTAACTCCATTACCTATATAAGCAACAGTGAAAGAGACAAACCCAATCATATATGGCGCGACGCTCCTGGTTTTCACCGAAATTTCCTATCTTAAAGAGACCCTAATCAAAAGAAAGAAAATTTATGAAAGAAGATGATTGGGAGAGTAACATGGTTTGAAAATAGAAAATTACCATATTTAAAGCGGAACACAAATCAGCAATGAAGGTCTCCGCAGAATCACTGCAACCAAATAATGAAACGACAATAACGACCAAAATTTACTAACAGCAACAGTTGTGAAGGTAGATCTCCCAACCATACCAACAACCCAACCAGCCTTTTTAGCCCTTCTGACAGCTTTAATGCACTTCATTACACATAAAACTTGGTTCACCTGAAGCCCAAGTATTAAAAAGTGGTCTATATTTCAAGATTGATGATTATCAACAGCCCTAAAGCACTAACAATACCTTGAGCAGAAGGGCATTAAAAGTCTCCTCTTTGATTGCCTTCTTAAGCCTCTGAAACAAAGAAAAAGGTTTAGAAGGTGAAAAGAAAAAACAAATCAGGATTCATCGACACAATAACACTTTACAACAGAAGAATACAACTTAAAAAGATAAAAGTATGAATTGTAATCCAAACCCTTAGGTCAGAGAGTAGGCTATCATCTCCCACAACTAGTAATTGCTTCCCCAGAGGATGATCGGGGGTATGGGAAGAAGATAACTCCACATCATCAGGATGGAACGCATCTTCAAAATAACCAATACTAGAATATCACTAGCATTGTGAGAAAAAAAAAAAAAAAAAAAAAGACTGATATATATAGATATTAATCAACAAATTATTAGGCTCTAGATTTTGATACTAGAATATCACACAATCTCACCAGAATTTGTGAAGAAACAGTTTTTTTTTTTTTTTTTATACGACACGGGATTGAACGCGCAACCTCCCTCCAAACCCCATCCAACCCCCTGGTGCCACTAGACCAAGCTGTCTTAGGCATAAAGAAACAGAATGAACTTGGAATTTATAACAAAATTCACTAAACCTTAAAAGTTGCAGTCCTTCGAGGCACTGATGAATCCCCCATTTGGATTTCCAAGTTTGACTACCAATAACTATCGATCTACAACTGTTACTCAAATAGCCATTCATACTGCACACTTACCCCGAAATAATCCCACCAATCATAGACTAACAAGCCCTGCCCTCGAACTGTCTATTTAGCAGTATTAACTGTCTCAACAAACTCATACAACTCGATCCCATCTACTCACTAATACGCTTCAGGAACCTACACAGAAAACACAGCCAAAGCCTTAATGCACCCTCTTTTCTTGCTCACACAAGTACGACCACTACCAGTAACGGATCTATCACAAAGCCAAACATTATAAACGACAGTTACGTTGCTCTCAAAAAAAAAAAAAAAAAAAAAAACCGAAAAGAAAAGACAATCATTTGATCAAATCTTATAAAGGAACCTCCAGCACTAATTTGTCAATGCAAAATTATTATTGTTTTCACAGTATATGACTTTGGATAGAAGAGCTTGCAATTTCCCTGTCATTGCACTTGAGATGCAGGTCTCATTTAAGAAGACCAACAAACATGATTGATTCAGCTAACAAATATTACATTTACAAATTTCTTCATATAAATATGTACATTATTCACCTTTTTCTTGAAGTTTAAGTGATACAATTTATCTTCTGCTCCATAAAACTCAGAAGCAGCAACACGCACTCCAATATCAGCCTGAAAAAGATGCAAATTTCTTAACCCTTCATATCTTTAGAAGCTACAGAAGTCCTAAAAGAGACAAAATGCAAATTTCTTAACTCTAAATAAGTTTCGAAGACGTAATGGATTGAAACCTACACGTCCACGGTTTCCAGACTTGTTAATTGCCTCGTTCAGCAATTCCGAACCTTGAGCAATATCCTGAATTTGTATAGGGGGAGAAAAATGACATCATCAATATACTGGTCAATTACCATTTAGTTTGTACACAGAAAATGGTTTAGTAGAATCGACATTAACTGAAGAACCTCAATGTCAATGGTATATCCATCCCAAGCACCCTCGTTATTTGCAGCTCCAAATTTATCTGCAATTACACCCTTCAAAGGAAGTAACACTATAGTCAGTAACCAACCTAAAACGAAATTCTCTCTGGCTAGACAAATGTAAAAGTACATTAAGTGGGAAAAAAAAAATCACCTTCAAACACTCGTATACTTGTGAATTTATCTCAACTGCCTCTAGAAATGACGGGCCGTCAAAGGGAATTTATTAGAAATTCCTGCAAGCATAGATGGACCACAATACTCAAAACAGGAACGATCCATGGAAAGAGGGGAGAGAGAGAGAGAGAGATAGTATAAAACATAGGTAGATGTTAAACTAAAAAATCATGCCTGCACAATGCCATTTAAAGCAGGAATAGGCAAATCATCGCGCATTCTCTCGCCAACGAGCTTCGCAATGTACTAAATCCATAGGGAAAAAAAGAGGATAGACAACAGATTCATTAAGAACTATATATGAAAAATTATAAAAGACCTCCTACAGGAAAAATAAAATTTAATCACTCGATGCTCAATTAAGAAGCCCTACAGCTATTACATCATGCTAACCAACAGATACCATATAAACTTCTACTGGAGTCCAAATAATATACCCTGTAAAGAGGGATCTTCTTAGCTTCAGCCACCATTTTGCATAATGCAGCGGAAACTGCAAATAGCATGTTTACAACAAGCTGAAAAGCCAAAAGGTAAACTTATGATGCATTTAAAGGGAATAAAGGGGAAAAAATACAGGAAGCTGTGCAAAATAAACCAAGTTGCGCAGATGTATACTCGCTCAAGAATGCCTATAGCAATCCCCTCAAATTTTGAACCAACATGGTCCGTGATATTATTCCGTGCTTTCACAATAAGCTTGTCAAAAACAGCCTGATCAGTTGAGTCCTAAAAGAGACAATGAATTCTATGACCAACACAAAGTCCAAAACTCGATCTAAGTAGAACCAATTAAGTATATAAGAAAGCCCAAACCAGGCCAATCAAACAGTGGAAAACATGGTCATTGGCAAACGAGGTAATCTACAACAACACAGGACCGAGTCAATTAACATCACATATATAAAAATAAAACAAGAAACGAAACTTCACACACTGCAACAATAAAGGCCATTTGCGATGACAAATATCATCGCAAATAATACAACATTTGCGACATGTCACTGTATTGACATGTACTAGTACATCTCCATATGTTTCTAGAACAAAAGAACCAAATTACAAAATATAACATAAGTAAACACACTACTATTATAAGAAAGCACTGAAAGTTGTGAATTGAAGATAAAAGAGGCGTACCTTCTTTTGAGCAAGGAACAACAGCTGATACTTCAGTCTCGCTATTCGAAGTCGCGTATGCCTGCAACACACACATCATGAGTTGCTCGCACAAAACATTCAAAAAAACAAAAAACAAAAAGCAAAAAGCAAAGGGTGTGAATTCAAATTCGGACCTTGAATACCGGATATCCATGATGGATCAAGTTCGCAGTAACATGGATGGATTTAATCGTTTTCTTCAATTGTTTCTCTGACTTTTACAATCTTTTGAGAGGTAGAGACGAACGGACGCAATTCTAGAATTACAAACCATAAGAAAAAAACATACGAAACCATAAGAAGAGCTTAAAAGATTCTCGTATAAAAAAGCAAAGAATAATCAGATAAAAACAGTACAGAATGATGAGAGAGAACACATAAAAAGCAAACCACTCCTCAAAATTCAATATAAAAAATGAAGTGGTACTTTTGGCGACCTGGGCTTGTGTCTCTTTAGTCCATTTTTAGATCGTGCGTGTCTTTTTTCTTTCTTTTTTTTTTTTTTTTTTGCCCTTTTCCAGTCAGGCCAAATAGCAAAGCACGAAGGTTTTTGAGATCTAAAGAAAAAATATATATATAATAATAAAAAACTAGTGGAGAAGCGCATGCTTTAATTGTTAAGACTGCGTGTTAGGGTTATTGACATTATTGGTAATCAGTCTTTGAATTACGAGCGGACGTGATAATTAGTTCTTGAATTTCTGATTTTTTTTTTTTTTTTGGTAATTTGAGTGCCTTCTTGAAATTGCTCAATATTCTTTTAGAAACTTGCTGAAATCTGAATTAGGAAACTCACACGACCAGCAATTTGCGACGTAATTTTCTCCTTGATTACAATTTATTTTGAGAAAGTGCCAACATATGAAACGTTACCTTATCTGATCTAGCTTATGCCCAAATTACTGAACCATGTTCAGTAGCGAGCTCTATAAATTTTCCTCTAAATAGGAGATTTGACTTTGAAGATCTTGACTCTCGAATTAATTTCTTTTATTGCTGGATTACCCATTAATAAAACTACGTTTAAGGACATAAATATTTTTAAAAAATACTCATTACACAAATCACCTTAAAAAAATTATTCCCGATCTAAAAATTATCATGCCCTAATTATTTCCAAAAAAAAAAAATATTTGATTTATTTTCTTTTAAAATTATTTTTTTTCCTTCAATTTGTTGTTCGCATATAAAATTTCGAAGAAAGAAAAGGTCCAATTTGTAAAATTTTTAAGTTTGAAAATTTTTCATATTCGATCGGTTACAACAGTGATATGGTTTTGAAAAAAGCCGTTTTTAATTGTTATGCAAACTTATATATGAATCGGTATATAAACGTTTCATTCTCTCCTTTGTTCATATACTGATTGTATATGAACTCTTGAAAATATTGCAGAAAGAGAGATCTACGATTGAGAACACTCTCTCTCTTGTTGTTGTGTGTAATGAAGCATATTACCGTGTATTTTTAGGGAACAAAACAGAATTGATCTTGATTGTGATAAAGTTTCAAAAGAATAACAAATGATCAAAATTTTCTACGAAATTTATTCGATCAAATAATAAAAGTGCAAGAACATGTGAAGAAAAAAAATATAAAAGCACAGAAAATATTTCTAGAAAAGAAAAGGCACATTTTATCCTTAAAAAAAAAAAGGAAAAAGATTAACATTTTGAATTTTATCAAGGAAAAATAATGCAATTTTGTTGTAGGGACCTTTTTGAGATTTTAAAAATGTGCGAATGGGTGTGGTTTAAGAATGTGTGTCAAAAATAAGATAATATGAGGTGATTTAGTTGTAGGAATTTTTTTTTGAAATTTTAAGAGTGGCGTGTGTAACAAGTAGGATGAAGATTGTTTAAAAATGTGTGTGAAAAGTGGAATGAGAGGTGATAAGTGATAACAGACCCCATTTTGATAAATGAAGTATTGTGTCTTTTTTTTTTTTTTTGGATAAGTCTATTCTTCATAGACTTTCGGCCCAAGCAAACGGAGAAGAAAATTAAAAAGATGTTTGGTTGGAGGATTCAAACCATGATTTGAATCATGATTCATTATTCACTACAGTATTTTATCTCATAAAAAATATACGTAAATCGAAAATAATTTTAATCACATGATTCTAATCCATAAACTAAACGTCTCCTAAGTCTATCAAATTCGGCCTGAGCAAACAGAGAAAAAAGTTAAGTCTATCAAACTTCAGTTTGACTTTGACTCAAACTATGATTCCGACTTAAACTTGGATAGGTCAGCCTATAAAATAAGTCACTAAAGTTTGTACCTTCATTTGTTCCTTCGGGTTAGTTCTTTCTCATATGAGTCCCATTATAAATTCTATATGATTTTGTGCGTCAGGTATGTTTCTATTCTTCGTGTTTGATTTATTGGGTTTTACTTTCAGGCCCTCTTATTGTTGTTATTCTTTGTGTTAAGTTCTTGCTTTTTCAAAATATTTATTGTTATTTTTACAATTCAAGTTCTATTGTTACAGTATTTTCTCTCATAAAAATTTAAATTTAATTTTTTTGTTATAATATTTTTCTCTCGTATACGCAACTCAAATTAAGAATTTGTCTAAAAAGAACCATTCCCTTATTATCTTATTGGTGCTTGTTTTCTCTCTCTTAAGTTTCAAAATAAAGCAAAAAAAAAAAAGAAAAAAACGTAATGGAATTTTCTCTGTTTGATTATGATTTCTTCGTGTTTTTCCTGAACCTGAAGTCGCATATATTTTCTCACTCTGGTGTGGAATTTTCAGCCTTTCCTATATGTTTACGATTTTATTGAGATTTCTGTTTTGTTTTCAATACAAGGTTTTGTTTGTCAAATCCATGCATGTTCTGTTAGTGTAAGTAAACTAGAGTTTCAGCTTGTTCTAATTGGTGTATTCAGTTTCAGCTTCTCTAGTAATTTGTATGTATTCTACTATGTTGGTTTCTTGGTAACTCTCAAATGAGCATCATGATTTTCACAGGCCTACTTGGTTAAATATCCTCGTGATAGAGTTCCAAAATAATCTAGATAGCGTTCATTTGATATCTAAAAAAAAAAAAAAAGCAGGGAATAATTTACTTTGTTACTGGTTGCTGCTTAGAAACTTAATTGCTGGTTTATCATATATGATATGGTAAAGCGTCATTAAAGAATCTTGATACGATAAATGAGCAAATAGAGAATAATCTTTATATGACTAAGTTTATAATGATCTTTATAGATGGTATTAATTTGTTTACTTTATCATATCATTCTTTCAGTTTTCACAAGCAGCATGTCCACTCCTCGCCAGCTTTTTTCTAATTGTATTTGTGATTTTTCTCTGCTTGCAGCGTTTGTGGAGGGACGCTTTTCCTACGCCTTCCCTCAGGAGCGGTGTAAACCCGAGGTCCTTTGCTTCAACCTGTGGGCGCACCAGTCCACAATGAACTTGTCTATGCAGCGTGGCTGCTTCTCCTGGAATTATCTTCACTTCTCACTTCTCAGCAATCGCGACTTGCAATATTCTGTTCTCATGACAATGCCATGACATGTCATAGTAACGAATATTGCAGGCTGTGATTGCTGAGAGCTGTAACCGAAACGCCGAATTTTTCTACCTCAATTTTATACTTGGGCCAGTTGTCTTGTGGTGTTGTCTTTCATGAATCTTAAAAAGACCCCAGATATTGTAAGACTTTGGCATTGAGCTTGCATAAACTACGTTCATTTAAAAGAAAACTTGCCTGACTTCTAAAAATTCGGTTTTTTTTTTCTTTTTTCTTTATGAGATAAGAAAATAGACAAAATAATCTAGGAGAAGTAATGCCATCTGTCTTCAAAGTTCAAAATACTCCATGATTGAGAAAGGAATGTCTTTTAGAGGTTTTGGAACATTCCCAACTCAGCTGTGTGCTCTTACAAGTGCTGCATGATTAATTTGTCCCCTCTCTCTCTCTCTTCGCACTTCTCTTGAGATTTCAGTTTTCTTTGTCATAAAAAGTGTCTGTTTATATGTCACACTTTCATGTTCTGTTGTTCTTTATGCTTGTTTATATGATTGTCTTTTTTCTTTATGAGATAAGAAGATAGACAAAATAATCTAGGAGAAGTAATGCCATCTGTCTTCAAAGTTCAAAATACTCCATGATTGAGAAAGGAATGTCTTTTAGGGGTTTTGGAACATTCCCAGCTCAGCTGTGTGCTCTTACAAGTGCTGCATGATTAATTTGTCCCCTCTCTCTGATACATCCCCTGCAATCACAAACGATTTCAGCGAGAATTCAACACTCTTCGAGCGAGTGCCAGCTCCAAGAAGAATATAACAGGAGAGGAAATAGAAGAAGAAGAAGAAGAAGAAGAAGAAGAAGTAACAGAGGGACGAGGGAAGAAAGGGAGAGGAAAGAGATTTCTCTTAATTCATTCCATGCCATCATCTAGCAGCAAATCCAGAACATATTCCCCTCTCTACCTAGCACAGTTCTCGGAGGCTAACAATCTCTAACCAAAATTGGTTACAAGCAGAAATGCCAAACAAACAAAACAGAGCAAAGAAAACAACAGAAATTGGTTGCAACAACCAGCTCTCAAACGACATGTCGTGACAAGGCATCAAACGACATAGTCGTTCATCCATATTGGAGGTTTCGTGGTGCGACGTGGGTCTCTTGTGACTTGGGCTGGTATCTGATCTTCTAGGCCCAACTCTGGATTAGCTTCCTCTTCAATGGTACTCTCTTGTAATGGGCTTGGTGACTCCAATGGAATGGGCAGAGTCGTTTCACTCTCTCTCTCTTTGCGCTTCTCTTGAGATTTCAGTTTTCTTTGTCATAGAAAGTGCGTTTATGTCACACTTTCATGTTCTGTTGTTCTTTATGCTTGTTTATATGATTGGATCTTCAAATTCTTTATACTTTCTTTTGTTATTTTTACCATTCCTTTAGAGTGTGTTTGAGTTTCCATCAAGTTCTTGTTGTTTCAATTCCTAGTTTGATTCCTAATGCAACCGTCTGATCATATCCACTGTGAACTTTTATGTTTCTACAGCTTCTTTCTTCTGTTTCCTTGGTAAAGAAAATAAGAAATAACAAAGAAGATTGAGTATATTTGGTTTTTATATTTGGATTTACTACTATTTATTATTGGATTGAAGAATAGTTATTGATTGTATTCCCATGATGAAATGTATTTGTTTTTATCTGTTGCTTATTGGCCTTTTGCTGCTCTCCTCGCATGTCATGAACCTATATTTCGTGCAATATTTCTTCCAACTTATACGTATTCTTTAGGGATATACTAATTTCTATTCACATTTGTACTGTTTCTAACCTTGGATGAGAAACATCATGTAGTTCTGTATCTATGCTGTGTCACATTCAACTCCACTTCTATATTGCATGAACGTGGTTACCTCTGTAACTTATTTGGAGAAAACAAGTATTAGAACCGTTTCATATACAAATTCACTAACTGATATCAATATACTTTATCAGTATAATGAAATCTAAAATTTTAATTTTGATGTAAATTATAACTGTGGCAGCCTGTAAGAAAACGCTAACTTTCCCATATTGATTCTCTAATTCCACCAGATACTTTACAATACCATCTATAAATACAAGGGTTTTAGTATGTGAATCATGTCTTCTACTTCTGATAACAAGATCTGTGTAATGCCAGTAAATACTTGCACCAAGTTTTGGAAGATTGCATTTTTAGCCGAACTATATCTTGTTCTGGAAAATCGCCTTTAATTAAGCAAATACTGAATCACCTAAAAGCATCATTCCAAAGAGTAGACTAGAAATTCTTCGAACAAAGGAACTTGAGCATCGCTTACATTTGATTAAATCATTCTTTTCATGGTCCACCCCAGCATCATGGAACTTGTTTTTTCCAGCAAATCTCATTCAATTTGTCGAAGTATCAATTCAGATTGTTAGAATTTAGGGTGGTTGAATTCTAAAATCAAGGTTTTGAACTATTATTAATGGTTTGAATTGTCCTCGTACGTTCTTCTGCTGCTGTGTTAGCTTCGTTTTTGGATGACACTAAAGTGAGCATGCCTGCAGCTTGTGCTTTTTGGTTATAATAGCATCCGAGACCTACTTTGTTGGCTACTGGTTGCTCTTCACTTTTTCATGTTATGGACTTTTTTTTATTATTAGTTTTTACACCACCATCTTGTTTCCATTTTCATCTTTTTTATCCGTTCCAATTCCAATGTCGTTGTCACTCTATTGTTGTCGTTTTTAATTCTGTCATCAGTTCCCTGTTGTATTGTTGTTTTCAAGTGATGTAGTTAATTTCACCGAATTTTGTATCGTGTAGCCTGCCTGATTGTTTTATCAGGTAAAAAGTAAACAAATCCCATCTTCTCCTCCCTGTAAATATATAAGTTACAACCATTTTCTTTTATATTCTCTTATTTTTGTTGGAGGGGTGGGGAGACAAGTACGTGAGAAGGTATAGAATAAACTTTAATACTTAGTGGACAGTGGACACTACTCTGATATAGACATCAATTTTACAGTCATACCTTCAATAATAATACATACAAGACAATGACAACAATCAGGAGGATACGACACAAAGATGGTCCATTGTTGGCACCTAGCAGCAAAAACGTATCCTAATGGCTTTTTCTAATCATTTAAAAGAGTAGCTATCAATGAGCACGAGATTCTGTTCATGTTTTGGACATTGCATGAGATTCTGAGAACCAAAGACCAACACCGGGTCCTTTTTCCGAGCAAGTCTCTGAAAGTCAAAGATTACTCGCATAGCAAAGGGATATGATATGCCCATTATTATTGCTCTCTGTTTTGAGCTATTTCATTGATGAAATGACACTAAACAAAGAATGTAAGCGACTCCTGCATTGTTGATTTTCTAGGGGAAAAACTATTACTTCGACTCGCAATATGAAATAATTTTCACACAGAATTTAGATAAAGGTCTGATTGAACAGAAAATAGCAAAACTTGGTCCAGAAGCTTACAGGAAAAATCACCAAATCCGACTATCTAATTAAGGAAGCTAAAATCACTATAAGAAACTAATGGAAAACGCTTCTGGGTTGACAAGAGATGAATTCAATAGACCTATAACCGCCACGATCATTGCCCAAACTGCAATTGCTGGGGGTAAGCAAGTAACCATCTGAGTATTGGAACGAGTGCAGTCAAAGCTAGTTGAAGCTGTTCTGAACTGTTTAAGCGAATGCTAACTTGTCCAGCTCCTCTGTTGTTCAAATTTGCACGAGCAACTAAGTTTGTGTGGCGTCCAACTGGAATCTGAGACTGTATATTGCATCCTATAGCAAGATCACCATGCCAATCCATGACAGAAAACCCAAGAGTTGATAGTGAGCGACCCAGCGGATAATCTTTATCTCTCAACTGTGCCTCAAGGCTGCCGCCATAAGCAACATCACCGCGGCCGGTCATTGCGCCACCAGTCATAACCACCTGAAACCGTTTATTGGCGATCAACTTGTCTTCCACTTTAACTCCAGCTGATAATGAATCTCCCAGGACTGTAACACTGATACCGGCAGTTGCCTTGTTCTTCCTAAAATTACTAAACCTCGTCTCGCTCCGCAGAGTATAAGAGATGTCTTTCCCAACAGTCTGCATATCAAATCCTAATGAAGTTGCTTTGCCTTCACCATGCTTTATTGAGCTCGCCACTTCCATTTGGAGATGGGCATCCTTCTTATCCTTAGAAACCTGGCCAGTAAAAGATAGAGGTATTTTGTTTTTAACCGCAAAAATTCTCTCCACATTTATTCCTTCATAACCAACATCATGATCCCAGCCATGAGTTTCTAGGACAGGCCTCACAAGCCACTGGTTGGAAGAGTCGAGATAACGATACCGGTGGGTGGGATTGTCAGAATCAAATGAAGCAGGTAATACCAAATCTGGCATGGCAACAGGGACAGATGCCGCACCAGTACTTTCTTCCTCTGTATTATCACCATATTCATTCGGCAGATCCTTCACTGAAGCTGCCATTTGTTTCATCATCTTCCGCCGTTTTTTCTCCTCCTTCAACTGTTTCTTCATCAAAAGCTTTTCCCTATACTCCAACTCATCAAAATACGCATTCTTTTGAGCTTTAGAAAGCTTAGCCACCTGGACCTTGCTCAAACGTTTAAATGGTGGCAACTCTTCAAGTTCTGATTCATTATCAGAATCTGATGATTCATCCAAATCATCATCTAGATCATCATCATCACCATACTGCTCTTCAGGCAGCCTCAACTCTGGCCTTGATTGTAGCAGAGAAGAAAGAAGGAAAGGCAGAGGAGGTGCCCTAGACCGAGTTGCAAAATTCTTTCCTGGTGGACTATCTTGCAACTTTAGAAGTGCGTTTGCTTCTGCCAAAATTTTTGATGCAAACGAGAGCAGTAATAAGTGTGGCTTCCAAACCTGACCATTTGGCAACACTCTCTGTCCAGCCCTATTTATCCTGCATGCAGAGTGGTTCTCCACCAACGAAACAGGGTTCATCAGTCGCATATCCGCAGCTGCCTGGCGAATGGCTTGCTGGACAACATGAGATCGTTGAGTGACAAACATGTCATAACTGGAAGGAACACCACTAGGACCCTCAGGTGGAGCGGACGCGGCGTGGGTCAAAACCACAATTGCATTGCACCATATTGAAGGGCCAAATATCTCCGTTATAGTGCGCAACAGTGGCATATCACTAAAATCCCGGCTTTGCATGTCCAACCTATCAAGATACAGAACAATATCTGGAGGTGTTTTCTTGATAAAGCGCTTTACAGATAGAAGAATCTTCTCATTTTTACGCTGGTCAGACCATGAAGGAAGAAGGCCTGGTGTGTCAATGACCCGTACTTTGATCCCTTGCACAGTTCCCACAACATCCTGAACCTTCTTTGTACCCGTTTGAAAGGCATCGGTGCCAAACTTCACCTCATCAAATATTGAATTGATGGTTGCACTTTTACCTACCCCTGTCTTTCCCAGGACCATAATAGTACAAGAGAAATCAAGGGGTTCCTGCCCTGATGCCTCAAGTTGCTCGGCCATGGCACTTGCACGGTCAAAGCTAAAGGCCCCAACACGACCTCCATTTCTCCCACGCAGTTGCTCTGCTAAACCCAGTCTGTACAAAACTTGAGCTACAACAACATTATGAGGAGTTTGTCCAAGCCTATGCGCAAGCCGCAAAAATTTTACCCTTATCATCTGGAGTTTTTCACGAGTTTCTTCATAGTCCTCTGAATCCCCATTAACAGGTTCATCAATTTGTTGGTTCTGTGTATGAGATACGGTACCATTTACCCGAGGCTGCTGCACAACACGAGGTGCAGGTTCCAAGAGAGGTGCAGCACGCCCTAAGCCGGCTGGTCGTGCAGGAGAGGTAGCAGGATTGATAGGCCTTGCAGGTAATGAAGGTTGCCCTGCAGGTAATGAAGGTTGCCCTTGTGTTGGTTTATCATGTGGCCTATTCATTTGAGTACTGCGCTTCTCTTCTTTCTTTTCTGGCTCCTTTGCCGTGCCGTTGTCATAGACAACATGAACGTCCCTAACTTGTTCAGGTTGACTAGCCTTCGAACTCTCAGTTCTCAAGTCAGTGGCACTGGCCTGAATCACCTCTGTCTTCTCTATTGTAGAATTTTCAGAGAAGGGCATGCTTACAACTTCTTCTGATGTAACTGCCTTATCCTGAGTAGATGATTGTGTGCCGTCTAAACTGCTTTTCAGCTCAGAAGTTTCTCCACTGTGTTCAGAAGGAAGTCCAGCAGAAGAATCTTCCGCTTCCCCATTCCTGTAACTTTTTTGTTCGGTATCTATGTAAGAGTTTTGTGGTTCTGCACTATCATCATTATGTATTGAATCAGCGCTAGTCGTACCATATTTTGGTCCGCTACTATCAGGTTCCTGATGTTCGCTATCCATAGCTTCTTCAGCCGGCTTGACACCCTGATCATCATGAAACTCCATACTTGGCCTGTCTGATTCATTTATAATATTGCCATTTCGATCTTCAGCAACCAAAATATTTTCATGTAACACCTGGACATTATCAGCTTCAGTTGAAGTCTCCTTACTGGACTCAGTTTCCTGATGAGAATCAAGAGAGGCAGCTCCATTGCCAAAATCTTCACCTGCGACCGCCTTCTCCTGATTCACATTACCAGCATCATCAATTTCAGTTTTCTCATCCTCAGTCACTATACGAGAGTTCTCCTTGACCTCATCTACAGCATTTGTAGATTGTATCTCGGAACCAACTACAATCTCGGAAATCACTTTTAGCCCATCTTCTGAGGTCCCCACCAACCCATCATCTCCCAGTCCATTCACATCATTGGTCGCATCTTCCATTTTAGTCCCTCCCTCATCAATCCCGCCTGCAACAGCAGCCTCCTCAACATTGTTCCCCCAAGTGAAATCTCTCGCCTTCTCTTCGGCACTAATAACTTCCTCCTCCTCATCCCCAACCCAGTCCTCGTGTTCTCCAACCTCACCAGGAACCCCAATCGCCTCTTCAAAATTCTCAACCTCATCACCAGCAATGGGGACCTCCTCAACAACTGACGAACCCTCGGCACTAACCATCTTTGCATTCTCTTCTTCATTTCGATCGCCCAAATCAGCTTTCTTCCCCTGCTCATCCAAATGCTCCTGGGTATCCATTGCCTCCTCGAAAACCTCCTCCGCTTCCGGTTCATTCAATCCATCAGACCCCACCACGGCCTTCTCCTCTACCCTCTCCTCAGAAACCCCAACTTCCACAATCTTTTCCTCCAAAAGGCGAGACTCAGCGACCATCTCAGTCCAATTATCTAATCCCAATCCATCAGAACGAAGCACGGCTTTCTCCTCTACCCTCTCCTCAGAAACCCCAACTTCCACAATATTTTCCTCAGGAATGCGAGACTCAGCAACAATCTCATTCCGATTCTCCATTCCCAATCCTCAAATGTTACTCGTAAACCCTAGATTCACCAAAACACGAAAAAACGCCAAAAGAAAACCATTCAACCAACAATACAACAACAAAAGAAATAATCATCATAAGCGTGATATAACATCAAAAATCTCGATTAAAAAAAAAAGAAAGAAAGATTAAACCCATAACCGAATACGAAATTACACAACGCGAAAAAAAAAAACAAAAACAAAAACAAAAAAAAAAACAACAACAACAACAAATAAACGAACGATGCAAAAATCGATACAAAATTTACACGGAAATTATCAGATCCTGACAAAGAGCTAATGGTTTTTATTAGGGTTTTGTGGAGAATGCAAATGAACCCAAAAAAATTGAAAAACAATAGCAGAGAAGGATTACCTGGTTCTGGGTATGAGAAAGAGAGCGAATTTTAGAGAGAGAAAGGCTTTGCGATAGAGAGAGAGGATCGGCCTTCTCTTTTTATTTTTCTCCGCTCGTAAGCTTTTTGGTTGGGGCGTGTTCCCATATCTACTACCACTTTCAGGCTTATTACTACTACTGCCAGGTTGATGAAATACGGATAAGAGGTGATCAACGGCTGAGGATGGCTCTAGTGTTTCCATCGGACGGTGGAGAGTGGCGAATCGGTGTTAAGAGGCCAATCATGTGACGTGGACATAAAGCGGAAAAACAGGCCTACCTGTTTTACTGCACATGCGGTGGCTTCCTCGAGTGTCACGTGCGTCATTCGGTTGGCCGATCTGGACCGTCCGTTTAGTCGATCGCTTGATGAGAATTGAGAAGCTTTTGCCATATTAGATGGAAATTTTTTAGATTATTTTCATAAATACACCCTAAGTATGTGCTCTATTTAAAAATGCCCATTGATTTTTTAAAATAGTTCAAAACACTCCCCAATATATATAAAATAGATTAAAATACCCCTTCCGTCTAAATCCGTTTATAAACCTAATAGATTTGCTGAGGTGGTAAGCATTTTTTAAAATGTACTTGATAGTTTTATCAAGAGATAATTTTTAGTATAAAAAAACTCATTAATGTTTATCTCTCTGCTCGAGAGAGGAAAAAATAAAAATAAAAAATGAAAAAATGACTTTTTTTTATTTTTCATTTCTCTTACATTTTACACTAAACCAAAAAATCGTTTTCATTTTCGTTTTTTGTCTTTAATTGTGCTAAACGCTGTTTTGGAATCGTTTTTATTTTTTCCTCAAAAAACAACAAAAATAAAAACAAGAACAATTTCAAACACGCAGTAATGTTCATCTTATCTGTGTTTTTTTTCTAACTTTTGTTTTGTTTGTGCTTTTATTAGTTTTAAAATTTTATTTTATTTTGTGTGATTTTATATTAAAGCTAATTGGTTTTTCTATTAATAATTAGAGTTTATATATATTGAAATAGTTTTATAAAGTTTTAATGAAAAGTCATGTCATCAAATCTGTTAATTTTATAGACAGATCTAGATGAAATAGGCACTTTGATCTGTTTTGTATATATTAGAAAGTATTTTGAATCATTTTAAAAAATTAGGGGCATTTTAAAACAAGTATTTATGAAAATAATCCAAATTTTTTAACCCCGTTGTTTTTTTAATTTCTTTTTTTAAGGGATTTTTTTTCCGTAATTTCTAAACATAAACGTTTATTGCCTTAAAAAAATGGTTGTTGTGGGAGAATGAAATTAGGTGCCTTTATAATACGAGCTCCACGACCCAATTACAAAATGAGAACTTTTTGGGATATGTGTTTTTTAAGGGGAGTCCATTCTTCGTCTTTTTTCTTTTTTTCTCTATGTTTTTAATCTTTAATTAGTTGATCTCCAAAATAGAATTAAGAGAATGTAAGTTTAATAATAAAATGTCTTTCTTCTTATTCACCAATAGCATATGAAATGTATTTCTTCTTATTTTAGGAGTAAAAATGGACAATATCGATCAGTTCATCTTACAATAAATAAAGTGCCGCTATTATATTATCCTCAAATTAACACTTTATTATGAAATTTGTACGATATTAATGTACTATCAGATCAAATCAAAATGATATAAAATGTGCAAAATGAGAATAAATTAGCATCAAATCAAAATCGAAACCAATAAAGTAGTATTTTATTGCATTTCATTATGTAAAGTCAAATTAAATTAGAATCGTACTAAGATGAGTAAATGTATTTGAGCGTCAAATTTATAGCATCTTCTAACCCATCAAAGAATTCTCCAGTTGTTAACAAATCGCTATTGAAACAATTAATAAATGATCTTGCCATGACACAATGACAATAGGAATTAGAGAGAAAAAACCAATAGAAAAGGAAAAAAAAAAATACCACATGTTTTACGATTGGGAATTTTCTAATTAGAACTATCCACATCGAGAATCATTTTTGTTTGAGATTTGGAAGGCTTTTTTGGAGCATTGGGGTCATTGTTTGGTTGGTTGCTCGTGTTGTTTTCTGTGCGAACATTAAAAAGACCAAAAGGAAACAAATAAATCAGAAGAAAAAACATATATAGATACAACAATAAGAGTTTTTGGACAATTGGACAAATCCAATCACATCTTATTCATTCAAGCGTTGCAATGAAGTTATCTCAAATTTTGAGCTAAATTTTATTTCCCTCCTCGTCGACGGTCTTGTCTTTCTCCTTTGCAAAAGATCAACATGAGAGATGACATTCAATTTCCAAAGGAAACATATGGGATGCGTTTTAAAATGATTTTATTTTTTGTATGAAAATAAAAATGAAAACGTTTTCAATTTCAAATAGAAATCATTTTTAAAAATGTGTTTTGTAATTTTATCAAGAGATTATTTTCAGTGTAAAAAAACCCATTAATGTATCTCTTTCTCTCTCTCTGCTCGAGAAATGAGAAAATGAAAAATGATTAAAAGTCGTTTTTCATTTTTATCTCATTTTACACTAAATCAAAAAATCATTTTCATTTCTATTTTTTGTCTTTATTGCGCCAAACGCTGTTTTGAAAACGTTTTTATTTTTTCTTTATCAAAAGATATGAAAAATAAAAATAGGATCAATTTCAAATACGGTCGACCATGGGTTCGAAAACCCCATTTCTAAAACATTTTACTACAAAATTAAATAAATAAATAATAAGACTTAAAGGGGTTTGAAGCTTTTGAGGCCTAGTTGACCAATTAAGTAATATCCTAGAATTGGTGCTCAAGTTGATGTTTGATCCCAAGGTACATCAACCGCACATCAATGTAGAAGTTCATCACTTCCATAGATTTGGATTCTCGGGAAGTTCCATTCATATATTAATGGAAAGTCATACACAAAAAGAAAAGAGGGTGGCAAATAGGGAGGCAAACGTTAAGTTCATTTATTAAGCATGGTTTGTTTCATTATTCAAGTCACAACTTAAATTTTTATTATATTATTTTTTCTCATAAAAATTTAAATTTAATTTTTTATGCCGTAATATTTTTTTTCATATAAATTAACTTTTCAACTCAAAATTAGAAACTCGAACAAGCGAAACGGATGGCGAATTTAGCATAGCTTTTAAAAATAAGTTTTTTAGCTTTATATTAAAAACAAGTTGTTTTGGGATGAGATGAACTTCACAAAGCTAATTTTATAGGTCAGTTTTTTTTGGTTTTTAGCTTTTCCTATCAACTTGTGTTTTTAATCATAAAAACAATTTCCAAGCAATACATAAGTGACGCGAACCTCACATTCTCATCTTTATATTCCTTCCACTAGCTATTTTGATAATGATAATTATTGTGTTAAAATCACGGGAAAAATAAGACTTTTAAGAATTAGGTAAATACAAAATGTTATTTTTATCATTTTATGAAGAGAAACACGCATAGCATTCAGTTAGAAGCAATGCCGATAATAGTGATTGATTTTTTTTATTTTTTATTTAGTGGAAATTGCAATTTGTTTATAGTTTTGAGCTTTTAGAAAGTCTTTTATACTATGTTTGGTAGGATGGATAAAAAATAGGAAGGAAAGGTAAGTTAAATACCTAGGTGAAGGAAGTAAAATAATTTTCTCTCGTGTTGTTTGGTAGAAGAGAAAGAAAAGTGAAGAGAAAATGTTAAATTTAAGGCATTTTACAATAATATCCCAATACAAATAAAAATATGATGAATGGTGAAGGTTAAAATTGTTATTTTACATCTCTTTTTTTTGTTAAAATTTTGTCCTCATCTTTTCTTCTTAAAGTTTGAAGGATTAAAAATTGATGGGCCGCATGGATTTTCATTTTTCTTCATTCCTCATTTTTTTCTCTACCAAACAACTTAAAATTTCATTTTCCTCTACAAAATCCTTATTCTATTTTCTTTTCTCTCTCATTTTCACCTTACCAAACACATTGTTAGTGCCTTATATAACGGTCAAAGTCGTATTTTGTCTAAAGCAAGATCGGGGATGATTTCTCTACCAAAAGGGAAAAAGATTGTGATGTAAGAAAGTCCTTTAATGCCTTATATAATGTTCAGAGTCAAATTTTGTCCAACGAATGGTACTATACTACTAGTATTGAGCCCGGTAAGAAAGCGTGTAGTGCGTATATAGTGCTTGTCTGATAGAGATTTTTGAAAACTATTGTTGACTTGACTGATTCTAAAAGTTGTAACTTCTAAAAAATTTCTCATAAATTGACTTGGAAACTTGTATCACAATTTTAGTATAACACGATATAAACTTTATTTTAACATTTTTTTACATCTTCATAAATTTTAAAATCACCTTAACGTATCAAGCTTTATTAAAAATGTGATTCTAAATACTTAACTAAAAAACTACTAGCGTGTTTAGAACCAATTTCGTTGTTGTTTTTCACGTTTTTCAAGACAAAAAAATAAGATTGAGGGGAACAACGTGTTTGGAGAAAAAAAGAAAAGAAAATCAAAAACAATTTTATTTTTTAGTTTAGTGTAAATTCACTTAAAAATGAAAATGATTTGAAGTTATTTTTCATTTTTTGTTTCTATTTCTTTGGGCAGATGCCTTTTTTTTGGGCAGGTAGGTAAAAATTATATAACTAAACAGAGTTTTAGTTTTTTCTTAAACTGAAAATAATATCTTAATAAAACTACCAAACGCATTTTCAGAAACGATTTCTGTCTGAGATTAAAAACGTTTTTATTTCCAGTTTCATACAAAAAACAAAATCATTTTGAAACTAATTCCAAATGCACCCTACAGTTTTTGTCTCTTTTTTTATATTTTGTAAGAACGCAATCCCTTTTTTATTTATCATCATGTTTAACAGTAAGGTGGAGAGATTTGAATTATACATTTTAGGGATAAAATTATTTTAGTACCCCATGTAACAGTAAAATATGTTTTTAGTAATATGTATTTTTAATAATATTAAAACGGTACTTCGATGTTTTTATAAATATCTTCTTGTTACCATGAAACTGATTTTTAAGATGTAAAATCACTTTAGTGCCCTTCTATTTAATTAACTAAAAACTAATAAATCTAGAAAAAGATGAACTTTTTTATTTTGTTGTTTTTTAAAATATTTTATTGTTTTAAAATATTTTCATATTTTTTTTATAAATATTGATTTTTATCTAATTAATAAGAATGATAGTTTAAACATTATATGTCTTAAAAATCAACTTTAGGGTTTATAAAAACGTCGATGTACTGTTTTAATATTATCAAAAACACAAAGTACTATTATAATACATGATACTAAATTGATTTTATCCCTACATTTTATATAGAACTACCCTCACGCAATGCATTAAAAAAACTAACTTATTACCTTATATCATGAAAAATTTAAACCAGAAAAGTGATCATGAATAGGAAAAAATGAAAGTAATTCATGAGCCTATATATTTTTTTTCTTGAATTTCTTATCTTTCAAAAAAGAAAACAAAAGGGCCGAAACAAAAACAAAGAAATGTTGCATTGGATGACCCAATGGGAAGCTCAGTGGTGGACGACCCAACTCTCATTTTCACTTCATCGAACAAACGACGACATAGATTCAGAATCAGCTTTCCAGGCCCAGATTACTTATACTCTTTCCATCCCAACCCCGCGATGCTCGCCGGAGCCGACTTTCCCCAACCTCCATGACTCGGCCACCGCCACCGCCATAGATGAAGACCTCAACTTCTGACTTTCATGGTCTCCCCCTGCAATGCCCTCTTCCCCTTCTCCAGCTCCCGATCCAATCACCCACTTTCGCAGCAAACACAACCACAACAACATCATTAACAACAATAACAAGCATCGACAACGCAATCCCACCACCACCACCACCACCAAGAATCGGAATCTTCCCTGCCTCGCCCAATCCCTCCTCCATCTCGCCTCCCAAGGAAACCTCTCGCAAGCAATCTCTTCTCTTGATGTCCTCGTCCAGAAAGGAATTCGCTTGCCCACTAAAGCTCTCGCTCTGCTCTTGCAACACTGCGGAGATAGAAGGTCCCTTAGGGAGGGCAAATGGGTTCATCTTCATTTGAAGCTTACTGGTCTCAAGCGCCCAGGAGTGTTTTTGGCAAACCATTTGATCGCTATGTACTTTAAATGCGGTGACGATGTTGAGGCACGCAAGGTGTTTGATAAAATGTCTGTTAGAAATTTGTACTCTTGGAACAACATGCTTTCTGGGTACGCTAGATTGAGGAAGTTGGAGGCTGCGCGGAGGTTGTTTGATGAAATGCCTGAGAAGGACTTTGTGTCGTGGAACACTATGGTCGTTGCGTATGCTCAGAATGGTTTTTCTGACGAGGCTTTGGGGTTTTATAGAGAGTTGCGGAGACTCGGGATTGGGTATAATGAGTTTAGCTTTGCAGGTGTTTTGACTGTGTGTGTTAAGTTGAAGGAGTTGGAGCTTACTAGGCAGGTCCATGGGCAGGTTTTCGTTGCCGGGTTTTCGTCCAATATGGTGCTTTCAAGCTCGGTTGTTGATGGTTATGCGAAGTGTGGAGAGATGGGAGATGCAAGAAGATTCTTTGACTCCATGACAGTAAGGGATGTTCCGGCATGGACCACTATGGTTTCTGGATATGCCAAGTGGGGAGATATGAGATCGGCTTGCGGGTTGTTTGATCAGATGCCTGAAAAAAACCCTGTCTCCTGGACGGCTTTGATTGCGGGCTATGCTAGAAATGGTATGGGGTATGAAGCACTAACATTGTTCAGGAAAATGATGATGTTTCAGATTAGACCTGATCAGTTTACCTTCAGTAGTTGCCTTTGTGCTTGTGCTAGTATAGCTTCACTTAAACATGGAAATCAAATACATGGCTTTTTGATACGATCTAATTTCAGACCCAACACAATAGTTATAGGCTCTCTCATTGACATGTATACAAAATGTGGGAGTTTGGAAAGTGCTTGCCGGGTCTTTAATCTATTGTCTTGTAAACATGATGTTATATTATGGAATACAATGATATCTGCCCTGGCACAGCATGGTCTTGGAAAAGAGGCAATTCGGATGTTTGAAGACATGGTTAGAACAGGACTGAAACCTGATAGGATCACCTTTGTTGTCCTTCTAAATGCTTGTAGTCATTCAGGTCTAGTACAGGAAGGGCTTAGGATCTTCAAATCCATGGCAACAGATCATGTTATTGTTCCCGATCAAGAACATTATGCATGCTTAATTGATCTCCTGGGCCGCGCCAGATGTTTTAATGAACTGATGAACGAGATTGAGAAGATGCCGAGTAAGCCAGGTTATCAAGTTTGGAATGCCTTACTTGGTGTTTGCAGAATTCAGGGGAACTTAGAGCTGGGAAGCAAAGCTGCTGAACACCTTATTGAGTTAAACCCTCAATCTCCCGATGCGTACGTATTTCTTTCTAGTATATATGCGGTGCTTGGGAGATGGGAATTGGTGCGAAAGGTAAGACAACTTATGAACAGAAGGCATGTGAAAAAAGAGCGCGCTGTTAGTTGGATAGAAATTGATAATAAAGTGTACACATTTATGGCATCCGATAAATTGCATCCAATGAAAGAAGTAATATACTCAGTTTTGGAAGAGTTAGCTGGACAGATGGAAGTTGATGTTTCATTTCTTAACACTGAGGTAAATTTTTGACAAATATTTCTTTTGTGGATTGTTTGTTATCCGAGGAGAATAAGAGGCATGATATTTTTCCAGTCAGTTTTCCTTAACTTGTAACATTAAATTTTGTCTTCATGTTCAGATTTCAACATAGAATTGAATCTCCACAATCATGCATTCTTGAGAGATTCCTTAAAAAGATTCATATAGCTGACGGAAAGTCAGATTTTTTGCCTTCGATGTTCATGAATTCATTAGTAAAGAATTCTGAATTTACTGTTTCTTAATTTATTCTCTTCATTTTCTGTTGGCTGGATTCTTTTTTCCTTGCTGGCCTGTCATTTTCATTAGATTAAAGTTTGCTGTCATTAAAAAGAAAAATCTTTTATGTAGCCTAGCCAATTAGCCAAAGCGACTTATCAGCCTTGTTCACTTCGCGGATTCGAGTTTTCAATTTGAGCTAAGATGTAACATTTTATGAGAACTTTTCACTATAGCAGAAAAAGTTAGATGTGACATTTTCTGAAAGCTTTCTACTGTAAAAATTTAAAATTGAAAACTCGAATCGGTGAAATGAACGAGGCCTTAATAAAGATCTTTCATGTCATGGTTTCTTGTGTCGTTCATTTCATGGATAACATTGGAAAGGACCAAAGAGTACTAAATACTGAACTATTGAGCCGGCGTGTGTAGGACTGGCTTTACGTTGGCCGACCTGGTAGTACTAAAAACAGGTTTCTAATCCAGCTTGCCACTCATGTTGGGGACATCCGATAAGCAAAATTGTAATTGTTCTTCGATTTATTTTCCGATGTTTTTCCACTGTTTTTGAAAAGCTATCAAAGCAATTTGATGCTGCAAATTAGACAGAAGTAGAAAGTGAATTCAAATAAACACTGCCAACAAGTCAGCCAGGTGAAATTCTTTTTGCTCCAGCCGTGACTGAAGGGCCGGATCATCATCTCTTCTTTGGTTCTTGGTTGTCTGGAGGTGTTAGAGGGAAAAAACACTCCCTATACCCGTGCAGTAAAAAAAAAAATTAAAAAAAAAATAGAGAGGATAAAAATTTAAGTGCTTTGAAAAAAAATTTTATGTCCATAAAAGAGAGAAAAATAATCACTAATAATTTTAAAATTACACACTTAATAAACTGTCTATCTCTTTCTCTCTCTACCAAAAACTTTCTACACACTTTACTTATTTTTCTCCTCACTTTTCTCTAAAAAAATAACACTATTTCTCTATATTTTTCTTTAAACACTCATAAAATCTTACACAAAATATTTATTATAGACTCTTAATAACCTTTATTTGAAAATAAACATGTTTGGTAATCATAATTTAAAATTATTCTCGATTTACGTGTATTTTTTTGTGAAAAAAATATTGTAACGAATCACGAACCATGATTCGAATTATGGCACGAATTTTTAGAACTAAAAAATATATAAAATTCTTATTTTTTCAAAATTAATTTAAGTCACTTGCGTGTTTGAAACTAATGATAAAATGAATCATTACTCCATTTGATTTTATTTTTTTTGAAATTATTACTCCTTTGATTTTCAACTAAACTAATTGCGCGGGGTGGGCCCCTCGAAACCTAATGCATTAGTGCTTTGCCACAAATTTCTTGCTTTGTCCAATTATGAGTAAAATATCCTCACGACTATGTAGGAGGGACCATTGAATTTGGTGGAATTGTAATGCCCTTCCAGCTCATCTGCTAGGACTTCTGTAATTGTGACTCTCAACAATAACGAAAATTGTTTTTTTTTTTAGGTTCTGTTCATCGCGTGAATTTAAGTTTTTAATTTAAATTAAAATGTGATATTTTTTAAAAAAATTTAATTATAATAAAAAAATTAAATGTGATATTTTTTAAGAATTTTTAACTGTAAAAATTTAGAACTGAAAATTTAAATCGATGAAATAAACGATGTCAATTTATCTGAAAGGAAAACATGTTTTATTGAAACAACAGATGAACAATGACAAGTGTTTCTTCACTACTCAGTATGTAAACACAAGATTTTTTTTTCCCTGGTTCCTATAAAGTCTCATATTACAGTTCCTTCTGAGTAAACTACCTTTTGTTGTTACGGCCACTATTCTTGTGTTGATATTTTATTCCAAAGATCATTTGTCTCATTGTCTGGTTTTTTGGCGGTGGTTAAACAAGGAATTAAGATGATGTGGTTTCTCTCTCCTGCCATGTGGTCAGCTTTTGGGTCCACATAGATGTAAAACGTGTTCAATTTAATATCAATTCTCACTTTGGAGGATTGGCTATGACAAATCAAACAAATAATATATAACTGAATAACAAAAATAACCAACTCAAGTAAAATTGGAGAGCCATACAAGTGGACCAATCCAAAGAAAGATATATCGATTATTACAAGTGGTGATGATGCCAATAGATTATGACTCTCCAACAATAATGAAGCGGCCCCACCAAACTAAATGACAATCCATCTCCTCCTCTTCCTTAAATAAAAATATCACCAAGATAACAACAATATGATAATTTTTATTTTTTAAAGTTTTATAATTGAAAACAGCCTAAAAATCCTTGACGTTACAACAATGAATTATATTAAAACCCATCAACCTAATCCCTTCCTCTTCCGTGCTAACACTGCCAAGAAGGTCAAGAACAAGAAACGGAAACTTTCTTGATCATCATAATCATCATCAAAGATGGGTTCGCATGTTTCAAAGCAGGTGAATCGAAGAAAAGCGATCTCGACGGAGAAGAAGACGCTCTGCGATCTGCAGGGAAACTGCGGCGACACTTTCCCGGGAAGCGATTACCGTCCACCGGACAGAAAGAACTGGATGGGAAACCTCAACCCGGAAAAACTCCACATAAACCAGATCGTCTGGCCCGGGACCCACGACTCCGCAACGAACAAGATCGGCTTCCTGTTCATAACTCGTCCCTTTGCTCAATGCCAATCGCTCTCTATCTACAACCAGCTCGTAAGAGGCGCCAGAGTTCTCGACATCCGAGTCCAAGAAGACAGCCGAGTCTGCCACGGAGTCCTCGCCACTTACAGCGTCGACGTCGTCATAAAGGACGTCAAGAAGTTCCTCTCCGAGACACAATCGGAGATCATAATTCTCGAGATTCGGACCGAGTTCGGACACGACGACCCGCCGGAGTTCGAGAAGTATCTGGAGGAGAATTTGGGAGAGTATTTGATCCACCAAGACGATCGTGTTTTTAGCAAGACTGTTTCGGAGCTTTTGCCTAAGAGGGTGATTTGTGTTTGGAAGCCGAGAAAATCTCCGCAGCCGAAAGCGGGCAGTCCGTTTTGGAATTCCGGGCACTTGAAGGACAACTGGATCGACACGGACTTGCCATCGACCAAGTTCGAGAGCAACATGAAGCATCTGAGCGAGCAACCACCGGTTTCTTCTAGAAAGTTCTTCTACAGAGTGGAGAACACCGTGACGCCGCAGGCGGATAATCCTGTTCTGTGCGTGAAACCGGTGACGAATCGGATCCATGGATATGCGAGATTGTTCATAGCGCAGTGTGTGGCCAAAGGGTGTGCTGATAAGTTGCAGATATTTTCGACGGACTTTATTGATGAGGATTTTGTTGATGCTTGTGTTGGCCTTACTCATGCAAGGGTTGAAGGCAAGGCTTGATGATGCTTTAATTAATTGAATTCTTTCTTTTTTCTTAAAATATTTCTTGTGTATTTTTTCCCGTTTCTGTAATTTTTGGTCTGTTGGGGTCTCTGGGTGTTATTTCTACGTTTGTTGATTTATTTGTTCATAGTGCGTTATATTACGGGTTTCATGAAATGTTATTTCTCCATTAATGCAAATGACATGTAATTTTTCTGTTGTGTATAATGTATATCATGTGTTTTTTTTTTAATATTTTTTCCCATGTGTTGCTCTTAGCTTCATCGCCTTCGAGTTGGTCAAAGAACAGAATTTGTGTATTTGTGAACTGGAAAAACCATTTTACATTCGAAGTTTGCCTTAAAAATTCACACGTTGGAGAAAGTTGCATTCCCTTCCTTATTATCAAGATTTTTCTTTGTTCTTGTTTCTGTAAATGGAAAAAAAGAAAAGAAAAGAAAAGAAAAAGAAACAAGCCAAAGGGTAATTAAGTAGCTGTTTATGAAGCCGGTTACTACTTACTACAAATTGAAATCTTCGGCTCTGGATTTAACAAAATTTTGATTAAGGAATGTCGAATTATTAGCGGTTTCTTAATATTATGGACGACAAATTACATGGTTCCTCCTGAACTACTATCATTATCAGAAAATGCTCCCAACATTTGTTCCTCTTAAACTTAAGAATTCTTGCAAAATTTCCCTTATGTTGAGTTTTTAACGGAAAATGACACTTGGTACTTTCTTAAACTCAAATTTATGACATTACATGTACAATTACAAAGATACCCTTGAAAAATGAATTTGGGGAGTAGTGCTGAAACTTTGGACGGGCCGCCCGTGACCACCGAAAAGTCTGAATTTTTGCCCGATGACCGAACCCGATCTGCCCGAAAATTCGGGCTGCCTGACCCGACCCAAAAATTCCCATGGACGGGCTTCGGGCAGAGGAAGCCTGCCCGTGCCCGGTCGGGCTGCCCGATGCCCGACCGGTTGCCCGAATTTTTTTTTTTTTTATATTATATTTTTATGTTGTTGAAATAAGTATTTGTATAATTACAATGTGTAATTGTGTATATTACAATTTGAAATATGAAATGAACACACGACACGAACGAACTATATAAAAAAAATTACGTCTTCATTGATTTTTAAATTTGTAATTCATGATTGCCTCATTAAAAACCTTACCAAGAAAAACCCAATTGAGATAAAAACTTGGTAAGGAAAAAAGAGTGCAATCATTGTGGGACGAATTACAAATTTGATGAACTTACAAAGTCTATACAAGATTACAAATTACAATAAACACTATACAAATTAGAAATTACAAAGTAAATAAATATTTACAAAGAAATTATCAAGATGAAGCAGAAGGATCATCTTGAAAATTAAAAGTTAATCTATTAAATTCATCGATCCATTCTTGGTTTGCCGGTGAGATTGTATCGTGTAAGCGTTGGTCGGAACGGTCTCAATCCTTGATGCACACCAAAGCTTCAACAATATCCTGCTGCAATGCGTTTCTCCATTCTTCAAGTATTCGGCCGGTTG